GTGCTGGTTCGACTTCTACTTCCACTTTGACTTCGAGTGTCGCATTTACCACCTTCGCTGGGGGATTTGGAGTGGATGGGACACACTGGACTACTGATGGCAGCACAGGCTTCACTTTGCGTTGTGTTCTTTCGACTTTGGTCTTGGCAGTTGCATTTGGGGTTGTCGCTGTCGTTGGTAGGGTGGGCAGGACATATTGTGGAAGATGCCGAAACGTCTGAGGCAGCATAGGCTTCACGATGCATTGTGCTGCTTTGACATCGGTCCTGACAGTTGGTGTTGGGGGTGTCGTTGTCGTTGGTAGGATGGACAGGACACAATGTGATGGAGGCTGAACGCTCCAAGACAGCACACCCTTCACTTTGCATTGTGCTCAATTGCTTTTGATTCTTTATCTCACAGATACCATCGGCATTTGTGGAGGGTGCCGTACAATCAGCGATAGGACATTCTGACACTGTTTCCACCTTCCGCCCCTTAATCCGTCCAAGAATTTGTTTGATTTCCATAAGAGTGGAAGCATTTTGTTGATCGGCTGCCAAAATGCATTCAATTTGACCGAAAATGTAAAATATTTTTGAAATAGTACCACAATGGAGAGTGGAGCCCTCCACCTCCAATGTTTGTACGACACCTTTTAGTTCGGCTAAAACCAAAGCCACTCGTGAATTAATTGCTTCAGCACACACAACTGCCGGCGACTTGTACTCCACCTCCTCTGCACAACTTGGAGCAGAAGCGTTTGAATGCCCCACGATCGTACACTCCCCGTTTCTTGTCGATTGCAATGCTTCTGCATGCTTTGGACAACAACTGCCAACTTCTCTAATACAGCCTTCTATGGAGTCTAGAATTGTCAGTACCTTCACATCGTAGGTTTCGCTTGGAATCGTCACCTCTCTACAACATAAAGCGGAATCCGATTGGCAGACATCTCGTCCTTGTGGATAGGTGACACCAGAAGGTGTCAGTAACTCTTCCAACTCAGAAATGATGGCAACTTGTACTGACGTCTTAGCACCTTGTTGACAAAGCTCCTCCTTCAGGGCTTGCAAAACGTTTCCAATGCTCTCCAATACCTCTGGATCATTGCATTTTTCTTGCAATATCTCTTTCAAGCTACTCAAAGTGGAGCTTAGATTTGATTCAAAATCATAGTCCGAGGAGAGTTGCGCAGAAGGCTCCAGTAATTGAATGAGACTCTGAAGCTCTGTCACCAGACTGCACAAATTTGGTGTTGGAATGATGGAGGGTTGACAGTTGGGACGATTTTCCCCCATCATTCCATCTTGAGGTGTTGAAGGCAGTCCACAGGTATCGAAGTGCATCGATCCTTCATTACCTTCACAGTTGGGACAAATATTAATGGATATAGCAATCTCATTTTGTTGACAACTTTGTAGTGCTTCTAGAGTCTCACTTATTTCCTCCAACATTGAAAGCACCTTCGCTTTAACTTCCTCATCGAAGGACTGCAACTCACAGTAAAGTTCACGCAACAAATTCTTAATTTTTGTGTCAAGATTTTCATTTGGATCATTTTGGAGTGGAAATGTTGGATGATTACAAACACCGCTTCCGCAGAGAGAAGCTGAAGAGCCCTTGTGGCTTGATGAGTCAGGATGCCTTCGTCCATCCATCATACAAGGTGAAGGCGCTATTAGATGTGGTGGTGGGTAGATGTATTGTTCAGCTCCCTCCTGAAGCGTCCACTCGTCATCAGCTTTTGCATTTGGAGTGCTGAATTCAGACTCTAGAAGGTGCTTTAACGTACACACAAGCACCAGAGCTCGGTCCTGACTGAGGTTGGATTTGTCAGCAGAAAGAATGCTCTCCAAGTCCTGCAATATTTGAAATATGCGTTCTATGGAGGTTTTGGCTTTCACAGAGGATGCCACATCTTGACTACAAACATTGCCCATTTCATCTTTTTCCCTAGCCGAGTGAGCACAATATTCATTTTCACTACAGCATTTCTCTGTTGCTATGGCATCCTTTATGGAGGTTTTCAATCCCTCAACTTTATCCAACACAAATTGATTTATGCTTGATTTTGGAGTGACATCGTCACACTCTGAAATCTGCACAGCCATCTGACACTCCATGAGTGGAGAAGGACTTTCGGACTTGCATTCCACTTCATCATTATTGTCATCTCTCAAACTCTCACACGGTGGCGAGCCACATTTGGGGCAACTGAGAGGTGGGGAGGAGCAACCGAGGCCTGCAGTCAAGTGTTGGAGGCAACATTTAATTTCCTCAATGTCTCTACTTAATTGCAACCTGGAGTCCCTTCGCACACATGACGCCTGACCACACATGTCATCACAGACACTGACTGAAGTCTGATGCTTTAAACTTTCACTCAACTCACACAACTGTAATTTCATATCCTGTATTTCTCCCAACAATTGTTTTTCAATGTTTGTAGCACTGATTTGAGAGCACAAGGCACGGTTGATTGCCTCCACGTTCTCCTTCAATGCCGTCACTGTTCTTCTCATATCATCTACATCCACATTGTCGGGACAATTTTGTTCATCCATCGAACAGCCGGACAAATTTGACGTCTTGATGGGTGGTAGTGCTGGTGGTGATGGTGATGACGGTTGACTGCATGGATAGCTTCCAAATTGCAATGGCACTTCAGGCGCTACTTCAATGCATTTAAAGCACACATCGTCTGTATTTGGGTGAATGTTGTTTGACTTTTCACAATTTAATCCAATGCTAATTTCTGCAATCACATCATTGTTGGACTTTGGTGAAAAGGAGATTGCAGTTTCCACTTTGTTTTGGGTGGGCTTACAGCAGTAATCAACATTTTTATTAGAATTACAACTTCCTAGAGAATTCATTGGGAAATAAAGGAAATCAGATTCAAAAATCATATCAACAACTTCTGTCTCATCAGCCCTTTGAAGTGATATTTCCAGATTGTTTTTAGCACCATTGTGTGGGTGAGTGGAAGTGGACTTTGTCAAGGCGGAGGTGTCGTCCATCGTGCCATATGGAATGAGGCACGCGGTCAA